AAATTGAAGAAGGAAAGAGCAAAAGAAAACAAGAGAAGGGGAAAACAAAATCTGCCAATAAGATTGTGGAATAGAAATGAAGAGGAACAGTTAAAAATAGAACCAAAGATTACAATAACAACTGAACAGTATCTAAAGAAAGTTGAAAGAGCAAAGAAAATTCAAAGATTTTATTGTTATGATATGGCTTATCCAGAACCAGAGATGCAAAATACTGTAGAAGATGAACATACATCACAAAACATGAATGGAGCTTCATGGAATCTGAAATCTAGAGGACAAAAGAGGCCATTAGATGATAATTGCCAAGAAATTGAATCAAAGAAAAGAAAGAATATAATGGATGATAAGCCTCTCTTTATCTCATTAACACAAGATAAGAAACGATGATATACCAGCCAAGAAAACTAAAATAATGGACGTGAACACCATGGGCAATAGTTCTTTATAGTTTTACAACTAACAATGATAACATTCACCATATTATATCTTGGACAAATTCAGAAAACTTTTTAGCTCACTTTTGCAACACAGATATTTTTTTTTTGAATGACATGAATGAATTTGTGCAAATAAATTACAGTATAAACTATGAATAATAATGATAAAAATTTCATATTACTATTATTAATTAAAATATATCATGCCTCAATATATATATTTTTGATTTAATTTGATTTAATTTGACTGTGTTATGTTATTTGAGTAAATGTTGTAAAATTATATGAAAATAAGTAAAGCTGTAAATAAATGTTTTACCATATAGATTTTAGATCATGTAAATGTTTCTTACATTACCTGGAAATGTATGTATTTAAGACTGAATTGACTGGTTTATTTATGATTGTCATTTTTTAAATACAAATGATCATAACTAATATTATTTAATGCTTCTCCTTGTTGAATTATTTATCATGTAAACTAATTTTAAGAAATTCTAAAATATTAAATTATTTTTTGATATTACGAGTAGCTTAGCGGTGAGTGGCTTTCGCGGTAATTGGGTTTCGTATCTGTAGGGTTTCGCGGGAAGTAGGGCTTTGTCTCAGTAATTGGTCCTTTCGTCCTTGTTGAGTTTTATGTTTCTTTAACAACTGGCACTATTCTGGGAATACCATCCTGGCAGGAGTTCCAAAGACCCATGCTCTGATAATGCCTCTAGTTTCAAAGACCAATAAACAATTACTATTATAATCTTATTGTTGTTGCAAAGGATAGTTGAATATTGTTTATTGAAATTAATAATCCCCATAACCGCTTTCCAATATAGATAAATTGTAGTACGTAACAAACTGTATAACAACATTTCAGTGTTATTTACGAAAATATTTGTTTATAATTTTATATTGCTTGGCAATACCCACCCCAATTAGATATAATGTGTACATATTTTAATAAATAAAGATATACTAACAAAAATGAAATATTAATTATTTCATATTTTATTATATAACCTGCACAACAGTAATCAATATTTTTCCTTGCTCGAATGATGTGTAACTTCATACGGGAATCCTGATAAAGTTCACAACTGGCGATTTAGTAGTATTAGGGATTGTCAACTTCCCGTGAATTTGATTACCTAACATGTTTAGGTTCATGCGCTGCAAGTTGCAGAGCACATACCTAAGCGGCCGCCCCCACCCCAACAAATAATTAAGCCAAGGCGGTATCGAAATCAAGGAACCCTCAGATTTGACACAATCTGGGAAGTTTGAATTTCTTAAATGAAGCACAGGACGACGAAGCTGAAATATCCAAGAACACATACCAAAAATCTCAAAAGTGAAATATTCTAATTGAAAAAAAATCTTAGCCCACCACTGTCATTGCAACAGCCAAAAACTGATTTTTGAATACTTTCGCCCCAAATTTATTACCTCCTATAAGTTTTGTAATTATAGCTGTGTTCAAATGATCATGCTTTTTATTTATTTTGGCTATGTTGTACACTGGTAAGAGATCACAGGTGCCGACATTGTTACACTGTATCAACGTAATCCCAAAGCAACTTTGAATGAACTGTAAATGCTGCCTTCAATCTAGAAAATATTATCGCAAAACGGTTGGAAATCTTAAATTTAAGAGCAGAATACGTCCTAGCAATAAAATAAAGTGACTTCTAAAGACTGAGTGTTTTTTTGGCGAACTTCGTATACGGTGCCCGGTGCCTACCGTGGCAACAGCCGAAAACATGTTGCTTGTTTTTTGAGTGGAGCCGATCGCCAACCAGCCTACCAGCTTGTTTTAGTATAAGCTAGTAACAACTTGTTAATAATTATGGGATGATTTGTAGGCATAAGATTGTTATGTGAACTTTGTTCATTAATGGAATACTGTGCGATGACGCTATTTTCAGGGCCTAACTGATTCAGGCTCCTATATTGACTATGTCCCGGGCTGTTTACTCGTACCAACCAACTTACTTGTCAGTGTCTAACTGTTATCACCGTCCCTGAGGGACGGTGCTGTTATATACAGCCCAGAATACGTCAGAACAGTAAAAAAAAAGTCAGCTAATGTCAGTTGCCTGTGCCATGAGAGTCGGCCACAGAACCAAAACAATCTGTCAGCCTTCGCCGCCCACAGCATCGATATGATTTTATATTGTATAGAAATGAACACTAAATGCAGCTATCCCGGTCAGCAATCGAATTATCAATCTTAGTGGTCTGTAAGTGAATGTTGTCAAGTTTGAGAGTGTGTTTTAACGTACAGCGACGTGAACAATATTGCTACAATTTTGGGCTTGAACATGTTCTATATTCACCCAAAACAACGACGAACCTGAAACAAAAGTAACCGTCCGTTCTAAACGACCTGCATCTATGAAAATCGAGTCTTATCTCCTTTGCGTTTCCGATCGACAGAAAGTCGGGTCCAATCTACCATGATTGTTTGCTTATCAATTCACGAGGGTCAAAAACGTTTTTTAAACCTGAATTTAACGACAAACGTTTTGTGGAAAACCTGCTATGTAGTGCTGCTAATTTAAGTGGCTATTTTAGTAACACTGATGACCTGGGGTCACGTTCACCAGGAGCCGAGAACAAACTTCTTATTTATCGATTTTTATGTTGACATTTGTTCCAAAAGTCTAGTTATTATATTAGAGTCTCAATT